AAGAAGTTCGTGTCGACTACTGACTGCGGGCCAGGCAAGAGACAGACACTCAACAAAGCTGAACATCCAGAAGTGGAAGAAGCTTTGTACATGTGGTTTCTTCAGGAGAGAAATAGGCATGTACCAATTTCAGAACCCATATTGGCCATGAAAGCTAAGTTTTTTTATAAGGAAATAACAAAAAAAGATGATTTTGTGGCCAGCAAAGGATGGCTAGAACATTTTAAAAGTCGTCAATAAAAGATAAGTGTTCAGTGATGCTTTTTTGTCCTGCTGTAACACAGATCACATCTTCTCGATCCCCCTTGTATCTTTATGAGAAATTTGTTTTCAGACGAAATAATTCAGACATTGATTTCAGACACAAAAAAAGACTAGAGATCCCTATGTATAAAACAACTGTATTTCGTAGTTCATACACTTACAATGCTATCCTGATTTATAACGAATTAGATGACAATATAAAGGATTGGCCAGTAAACAGATTTCGTAAGCATGTGAAACAGATTTATTTGTCATTGTAGTAATTGCGGAAAAGTTAGTTTTTAATTCTTACATTTTATTTTTACGTAATATATGTGTGTATATATGTATGTCAGGAAGCTATCAAGCTCGTTGTTTTGAAGCGTCTTTTGCTGCTTGTCAAAGTTTCCTTTGATTAAGTGTTTCAATTTATTATTTGGGTAGGTTAAGTAGAGAAGCCATTATGTTGTAGTTTATATAATGTGCCTAATAAAGACATTTTATTATTATTATTATTATACGTTTAATGACTATTGCAGGAGAGAAACTTTCTAACGATGTCACCTGCAAAAGGTGAACGATTTAAACCTTGACCCGTCACAGGTGTACAATGCAGACGAATCAGGGCTTTTGTGGCGTGTGATGCCTAACAAAACTTTCGTTTCTTGTAACGAAAAATCCGTATCTGGACCAAAAGTAAGTAAAGAGCGTGTAACCATACTACCATGTGCTAACGCTGCGGGCACACACGCGCTTAAGATGATGGTCATTGGGAAATCTAATAAACCACGGGCATTCAAAAACATTGATTTACCTGTACACTATTACAGACATAAAAGTTCATTGATAACAAAAGACCTTTTTATAAAGTGGTTTGATGAATGCTTCGTACCTGAAGTTAGAAAATGGTTAAAAGATCATAATTTTTCTCAAAAAGCGTTGTTGCTTTTTGGTAACGCTCCCGGTCATCCGTCTGAAGAAGACTACTAACAACTTAGGATAAGTGCATCACTGCGATGTTTCTTCAGCCAAATTGCACTGCACTGATTCAACCAGTGGACCAGAATATTATTCAGTTTGTCAAGCAAGACTATAAGAATAACCTACTTCTGAGAGCCGTATCAAAAGACCAACCAATAGAAAAAACGTTAAAAGAATTTAATATGAAAGACTTGGTTTTTGATCTTTGTCAGTCGTGGAATGCGTTACCGTCATCAACTATTAAATCGTCTTGAAAAAAGTTACGGCCAGATATAGTCACCACTCCTAGAAACGTTCCACAAATCAGTGTTACTTCTGAAGTTATAGAACAAGTCGCTACTGAAACATAGATAAGTCCGGAAGATTTGGAAATCTGGTGCCGTGGAATGGATAAAGAGGAAAATGTTTTTCATGAAATGTCTGACGAAGAGATTATAAAAGAGGTTTCTAATTATACAACAAACAATCAGGAAAATAACGACGACGTGATTGCAACTGCTCTACAAGTCACAGCACAAGACACAATTAACGCCTTTGAGCTAGGTTTACAATGGGCTGAAGAGAATGGTACATCCTACAACGAACTTTTACTTTTGAGAAGACTGAGAAACACAGCTCTGATCTCGCGTTATAACAACCTTAAACAACAAAAAAATTGATGAATATTTCCAAGCTTCATAATTTGATAAATTCATTAATGATTTTGATTAATAATTCTTGATTATTTTGGTACATATGTATGTGCATTTATGCTTACTTTTATAATAAAACGTAAGCTCTCTATTGTTAAATTCAACATACATAAACTATGTATGATTTGTACTTCAAAGTACATACATATACATAACATATATAATCTTACCATTGGATATGTAATTTGTCGGATTACAAGGTACCCTTTTGTAAAAAATTCCAGACTATAGGGGGTCTTCGGCAGTGCTCTATAATCCGACAAATTCGATAGTCCGACACTGCCCTGCATAATGTTTGTCGGACTACTGTATATAGAAACTCTTGTTTATGTGGTTGTAAAAACAGATTGTATTGTTGGCGATGTCTTCTGTTTTATACAGAATAAAATGCAGCGGAGTCAACGATTTAAATAGTTTTAGGGCTCTAAAGAGGAGACATGAAATTTATCCGTTACATGTGAGATGTGTAGCCAATTTAATTCAGTTTGGCAAAACAAGAATCAAAAGTTGTCTTAACCAAGCTTTTAGGCAGCACACTTCTGGCAAAATAGGAATTACCGTTCATTTTGAAGGGGATATGACTCTGATAATAGAGGAAATTACAGGAAATTGTTAAGATTCATCGCCAAAATAGATCAAAAATTTTCCGAACATCTAGAAACGTCGACTGTTTTTTCGGACGGCTTGGATTAGTCATAGCATAAGACGATGAGGTATATCAAGTGCCCCAGATGCTCAATCCAGGAATGTTTACCTTCATTTAAACATAGTTTAAATAAAATACCTAAAATAAGCAAAAACTTATATTTGGGAGGTTCAAAATAAACTTTTTTTAATAAGATTTTTCACATCTGGTTTTGGTAACAGTTTAGGAAAAGTCACGCGTCACCGCTGGTGTGGAAGCTTAAATTCTAGATTGTGTCTAGTAGTTCATGCCATAGCCTTAACTCTCATAGTTCAGGGCAGCTATAGCCTTCATAATTACAACCTCTATTCAACTTTACTTCTAAGAAAACACTAGCTAAAATCAGCATATTCATCAATATTGCCTTTCATCTCTATCTTATGAACAATTATGAATATTTTTTCGGATGTACGAGCCCCTTCCCACTTCACTTGGCCCACTTCAAGATTTGTACCAAAATATGCCTTTGTAAACTAAACATGACGCAACTATTTACTTCTAAAACAATTTATTTTTTCAAAAATATTTTAGATACACTCTAGTCGTAAAAAATACATATTCGAAGTCACTTAGGCCCGTATCGTCAGTCGTCCCTACAATTGTAGGGCGCCCTTATGGCCTCCTTGATTGTCATAGTTTTCTATTTCTCCGTGTCAGAACTCTATTTTGAGGTTATGTCACAAACATCTATTTGCATCAAATTGTGCTTGCTTTTGAGTTATATCATGCTTAATCAGCCTGAAATTTCCTACAATTTAAAAAGAAAACATATCTTCACAATAGGAGAGCGCTGACGCTGACACGGGACAAGTGTAATCTAGAAATTGTTGAAGGAGAGAAAGGAGTATGACAATCAAGGAGGCCATAAACGCGCCCTACAATTGTAGGGACGACTGACGATACGGGCCTTAGACCTATAACTAATAGAACATCTGAACAAATAAACAATGTGCGAATAAATGCGCGAAGTTAACAAAGCAACAATTGCAAGATTACCATTGGGTAACATCAGCTTTATTTTTTATTACGGCTGAAATTCTTTGGGGCATAGTGTTAACCAAATTTTGGCAAAAATTTGGTGTAAAACAATCCCATATTTCTTAAAGCTTTTGTCTTAGTTCAGTGATTGTACCAGCAGGATGTTGTCGTAGAACCTTTTTCATCTCGTGCCACAAAGTTTCAATAGGTGACAGATCTGGACTGCTAGAAACCCATTTCAAAAGTTGTACATTATTTTCTGCCATCCATTTTATAGCCTTTTTGAGGTATGGTACGCTGCACCATCTTGCTGAAACACAAAATCTTGGCCGGATGTCAAACATTCTTCCATCACTGGTAAAAGCGATTCTTCTAAAAGTGCCAAATATTTGTTTTTATCCACATTTCCATCAATAAAATGAAGTTTTCCTACTACTTTTGATGACATACTGCCCCAGACCATAATGGATGCTGGAAATTTCACTTTTCTCTTCAGACAGTCAACATGGAATGCTTCATTTTTTTGCGAATAATTCTACTGCGACTGTCACCAACACAAACTTCGAATCGGGCCTCATCACTCCATTGTATTGCACACCATTGTTCAGGTGTCCATTGTCTATATTCTTTAGCCCATCTAAGCCGATTTTTCTTTTGCAGTGGAGTTAATAGTGGCTTTTCTTTGGCCTATAAACAAGTTGTGCAACTTTAGGGTTTTTACTTCACTTTTTTTTATAAGAAAACTTACCTTGCAAGTGCTAAATCCCAGTTTGTGGGCCTCTCTATGAGTTGTGGACCTCGAAATTCTCCTTCCAACAGCGTCACTCCACAGAGCACTAATTGTAAATAATTGGCACGCCTGTTTTCACGATTATTCTTCTTAATGCTCTTCGGTCGGCATTTGTGATATTACTTTTTTTCACATATCGTGGCTTAATATTAACTGAACCAGTTACGTTATATCTTCTAACAATATTTCTCACACTGTGCCGCGATAAGTCTAACAAAGTTGCAATTTCTGAGTTTAATTTCCCAGAATTAAAAAATTTAATTATCAGTAACTGAATTTTCTCACTAATAACCTTTCTTTCCTCTACACATTTTGAAAACCTTAACTACCCAAAACTATTTTAAACGTATTCTGACAGCTGTGATTAATAAAAACAATTGTCATTGCTTTTATTTTTCACAGCCACCTATGCGTTATAGACTTATTTTGCTATGATATGCTGTAATTGCAACATGTGTTATTTTTATGCTGCAAACATATTCATTGTTAATATTTTAAACCTATAACACCCTGGTACATTTTTATTATTTGTGTTTGATAAGAAAAAAACTAAGATTTCAATAGTTGGGCCAACTGAAGTGGGAAGGGGCTCTAGTGTAATACCCAGATATCAACTTGATAAAAAACTCACCTTAAAAGCTCAGAGATAGTTTGCACAACAAATTGTCATAATAAGTAAATATATCAATCCGTTATATTTTTAATTATTTACAACTAAGTATTGTACGCTGAAACTGAACCGACAGAAGCAAAAGCAAATTGTCGACAGTAGAATAAAAATATATACATATAAGTTTATACCGGGGCAAATATTTGCGAAACAAATACCGTATACTTATTTGTTCTTCTGAATTAACGCGAAATGCTTAATCATACTTAATTGTTCACAAGTGTAATACGGTCATGATTATATACGATAAAACTCATTTTTCGACAGATAATGTATGAATGTGTATGACATTGAATTGCAAATGTGCATGATGGATCTGTAATTATTATATCATTACAATTATCTAGACACTGTGCAACTAAAAATTGGTGTCAAGTAGATTGAAGCTGCAATTCTATAATTGCAGTTTAGATTTGATTGAAATTGTTAAATATCCGGTCCTTTGAAAATGACATGCAAATCGCGGACAATTATAAGTACAAGTATATCCTTATCAATGAACCTGACCATGACATTCAAGGTCATTTTAATATCAGATAAATTTCCAAGTAAACTCTTCACTTTTTGTCGAGGATATAAAAAAGCGAAACATTGAAACTAATTTATTGTTGCATTGAAATGTCGGATAAAAAACGTACATTGCCCAATAAGCTGTTACCTTACTTTGAATATTGCATTTCTTTCTCCGAAACCAATCTCCTTTTCACAATAGTATACTTTACTTTCACCCTAGCAAATCCGCAGATTTAGTTCTAATGTTGCATATAAATTTCAACTGAATTGTTTGACCCAACTACTTTATGATAGCAAGGAAGGAATATAAGAAAATTTTTCAGATGTTACTTCATTCTATAGACTTTAAATTTCTTACTAACCTGCTCCATTTCTGAGGTCCGTAACTTGAAATCAGAATCTGAATGCTATTTTTCAACACGCTTTTATTATTAGCTTGCCCTGTAAGCATGTTACAGAAGTTTGATTAATCTGAAACCTCGCACACGTACCAAGGACTGATAACAATGCAATAATTTGATAACAGTACTTATTCCATTATCCTTATTCATAAAATTCTGTAAAAAGCAAATATTTCAATAAAAAGCCACCGATTTCAAATGCCGTCTTACGTATAGCGAAACTACAAGCCTCTGTAGGTCAGTGGGCTTGTAAACCAGGGGTCGTGAGTTCAATCCTCACAGGAGGCAGATTGTGGTATAACTTTTTTTAACACGCTTTTATCAGCTTGGCCTGTACGTATGTTTACAAGGTGTTCCTTAATGATATGCGAATATTTAAGGGTGTGAATCTACATAAAAAATTAATGTTAGTTTGCTTTATAATCTATGGTCTAAACATGTTTCCTTACAAAAACTCGGGGTGTCGAAGTTTTAGGGAAAAAATGGAAATTCAATTCAATTCAATTCAATGGACTTTATTGTAACACATACATAATTATGTATCCTTACAAATGTCGAAGTCTGGCCAATGGCCATTTATACTTAACCATAAATGTCATGTCAATGCTTATTACTACCTTAAAAATAAAATAAAAAACTGAAAAAGAAAAGGAAAAAGAAGAATAATAGTAAAAGAAGAATTAATAAATATGACATAATGCGTACGATTAGAACAAAAAACATAAGTAATACGTACGATTCAAGGAGAAGATAATAACCTAAGAGCTCAATAAGTAGTTCTTATATTTTTTTTTAGAAAAGATGCTGATGAAACAGTGTTCGAAAGAGTTGACCAATTTCACCGCATTATACGTAAAAGATCGTTGAAAAATGGCTGTCCTATGTTGTGGCATTGTCAGGAGATTAATGTTGCGCGTATTCAAATTGTGAATTAAATTCCTACGAACAAGCTTTTGCATAAGATAAACCGGAACAGAAGTTTTTAATATTTTTACGACAAATGTAACAAAGTTGTATTTGAAAAGATCAGAAATTTTCAACCAATTCTTTGAAGATACTGAGTGAGAAACATGATCGTACCTTCTTAAATTGTTTATGTAACGACTACATGAGTTTTGAATTTTTTGCAGTCTGTATTTTGTGATTTCATCCAGACAGGGATAATAAACTATGTTGCAGTAAGCAATTTTACTGAGTATGAGTGACTCGCATAACATTTTCTTAATTTTTCAATTTAAAACAGTTTTACTTGCATATAGAAGCCTGAGTCTAAAATAACTAGACTTACACACATAGCCAACATGCTCCTGAAATCTGAAATCTTCATCCAAGTACAAACCTAAATTTTTTGCAGAATGGGAAAATATTAGGATACTATTATTTAGTGATAAATTTAACTTTGATTTTAGGAAAGTACGTTTTTTCTTGGAGCAAAAAAGTATAGCTGTCGATTTTGAAGAGTTTAGACGTAAATTATGTTTTGCAGCATACGTGCATAAGTATTGCAGATCTTGATTGATAAGGTTGTTAGCTAAACGGTAGTTGTTCGGACAGAAATTATGAAAAACCTGCATATCATCAGCTTATGATTGACTAGAACAATGTTGACGGGTGTTAGAAATGTCAAAGGTGTAAATTAATTAATATTTTCAGAACCGCTTCAGATATTTCACTGATATTTATCAAGTAATTTAAGTTAATAAAGTTGCATATTTTTCAATGCAAACATGATTTTTAGCTTTAACAGTGGCGTGTGTACGGGTATTGACTTCGATATTTAAAAAAAAGTGTTACGCCAATGTTTTTTTGAAAAATAAAAACTATTTTTGAATTCCCCGTTCAATTTAAAACAAATAATTTCTCTTTAATTGTTTACCTTCGATGCGCAATTTTTGAGTAAAAAAATAAAAAACCGTGCTATTGTCCGAGAAAATTGATGTAATAACTGAAGAATGCAATTTAGCAATAAATATCTAGTTGCTCTGGAATATGTCACTCGCTTTTGACATCTGACAAGTCTCTGTAATTCAAATCTGTTCGCTGTGGCATCTTTTTCTTTAATTAGTTTTTACAATCTTGTTAATAATGGTGAATTATTCAAATGCAGAAATGGCGGAAATGCATTACGTATATGGCCTTGCCGACGGTAATGGTGAGCAAGCCAGACGGGTTTATCACTAGAGATATCCCGATCGTGCTTTGCCAGATAGTCGAACCTTTTCTAATACTCAGCGTCGTCTTGTTGAAACTGGTTATATCCGAAAAGTAACATCTGAAGGTAGACCTCTAAGTGTGAGCAATCAGTGCTGCACGAAGTCGAAGAACATCCTGAAATTAGTGCGAGGAAGATCGCTAGACACTTAAATATTTGCCACTAAATTGTTTAGAGAATTTTAGTGGATTTTTTGTTATATCGTTACCATATTTTAAGAGTACAGACATTACTTCCCATTGATTTTCCAGGACGTGTGACCTTTTGTCAGTGGTATCTTCAAAAAATTACACAAAATCTGCAAGTTGAATCAATGATTCTGTTCACGGACGAAGCTAATTTTTCTCTAAATACCATTCAGAAGTTCCACAATAACCAGTTGTGGGCAGAAGAAAATCCCTATGCGGTAACCCAACCCACTTCCAACATCAATTTTCAGTTAACGCATGGGCAGGAATTATTGTCAACCACTTTATTGGCCCATCCTTCTTGCCGGGACGACTTGACGGACAGACTTACCTCAATTTTCTTCAACAGTTGCCTTTGTTGCTTGATGATGTTCCGTTAGTAATAAGAAACAATATGTGGTAAATGCATGATGGTGCACCAGCGCATTTCAGTGGCACTTTCACAAAAGTGCTTCGAGCAAACCTTAGCGCTTTTTATATTGACTTTGATTTTTCTTTTTGTATGATGTAGCCATTTTTTGCTAAGGTTTGGGTCTTAGAGGAAAACTGTAGAACTTCATGTCTTTGCAAGGATTCCGTTCAGACTGATTATCGGAATTACATCGCACAACAGCACACTGCATTTTTAACAATTTATCAACCACACGGGCTATATAAAGAATGTATAACTAATAGAACAGGTCACAAAACCGCCAAAAAACACCAACAAATCGCACTATATAGTATTAACCACGATACACGTGAACTGCAGTAACGTTACGACAATCCTGCCGCTGGTAACCACGAGCCGACAACTCTCCGGGTGACGTCACGAAGCTCCGCCCACATGCGCAATATCCTATACAGTGTTGCCAGAAGTAGCGGAATTCTGCTACTGTTAGTGGAATTTTCAAGTGGTAGCGGCGGAATTGGATTTTTGTTAAAAGTAGCGGAATTTTGCAATTTAGGTTTACATGATGGATACTTTTACCAGAAAAAAATTGAGTGCAGTTAGTAACTAAATCTAAATACAGATATCTTTCCAATCGACAGTGGTAACCGGTCGGTAATTCTTATTCAACGGAGACACGTATACATGGTAGTAGTTGGTAAGAACACAACCTGTAAAGTGTATTTCCAAAGATATGTCTAATAATTTTAACATTTGCCACATGGTAATGCAGATGTCGAGTGGACATTCTCATATATGGAGATAATCAAAACAAAGAAAAGGAATAGAATTTTACCTTCAACTTTGCTCGCCATACTTATCAAACTGGATACAATACATAAACATGTTGTTGCTTAGACTTCGAGTTTGGTGAAAAACATTCAAAAAAATACAAAAATAATTTATATAGTATAGAGAGAACAGAAATGCGACAAGAAGAATCTGATACAGACAGTGACTAAGTTTAAGTAACTCAAAAACTTCAATTTTTTTATGCAAAACAGCAATGGCCTTTAGTCATATGCTTTTTATTTTTTTGTTTCCTGTGATATTTTTTTAATATGACTGCGTGATAAATGTTCTGTTGTTTGACAGTTATTTGTAATATTGTATTTATTGGTTTTTATAGTTAAATGTTTTTTTTATTATAGTTTCTTATGTTTCATCACGCTGTTTGTTTTTTGTTTTTCTTTTTTGACACAACCTGTATAATAAATGCCCCCTGTTTTATGATGCGCAACCCCCCCCCCTGGACGATAATCCCCCGGGGTAGCGGAAAGTAGCGGAGTTTTTCGATATCAGTAGCGGAATTTTCAATGTGGGCTCTGGCAACACTGATCCTATATTCAGTGTATGTGTATTGTGAGTATTTTCTGACTCTAGGCTGCAATACTATGAGCATGCGCCTTTGTTTCGTCCCAAAATATATTCTATGCTCAAACTATAGGGGACTTGGATGGTCATGAATACCACTTTTTGCTCCAATTACTCCGAAAAGGTTTTCTGTCACAGACGCCTTGTTAACAGGTAATTTACGCTGAAGCGTCATTTTAGCTCCGCTAGGAG